CGAACCCTTTGGGGCGGAACGGCGAAGCCGCTTACATAACTAAGCGCCAGTGTATAAAGCCGTCGGTCCCGAGCACACTTACTTCCTCCAGCAACCAGTAGATCTCGCCGGACTACCGACACGAAAGCAATGTCGGGCCCCAGAATGTATATGTATCATATCCGCTAACTTAAAGCGGGCGCGTTACGTTAGGAGGAGGGATCAAGGAGAGGAGGCCGGCGAGGGGGGGGCTGTGCCCATCCGAAGGAACGGGGCAGCCCCCCCCGCCCAAAAATATGATATGTTTGGGCCCCCCAAGGCCCCCCCCGCTCCACGAATCCCATTGGGGGGTCGAGATCCCCGCTCTGCAGTGGGAATCGCGGAACGGGGCGCCCCCCCAGGTGCCTCTTATCTTCGCGCTGGCGCCGGCAATGTGCACCTGAGGGAGCGTGGGTTGACATGAGAGAAGGATCAAGAAAAATGTGGAGGGGCGTTCCGCTCAAAAGCGTCCTCACAATCGGGCAAAACCGCAACCCCTCCCCGGGGGCACCGCGCGTGCTGGACCAGGCACATGCGGCGCCCTATGTCGGCGCGCACATATGAGAGGCCCATGTTTGTGTGTCTGTTGGAGAATCCTGAAACGCGCACCGCCCTGCTGCGAGCAGGCAGTGGAAGGAGCGAGGAGGGGGTATCAACCTTGACCGCCCGCCCCCGTCCCCTTCCCGTGACCGCACTCCGCGGCCGGGCGCAAGCGCGGCCGGCCGGGGCAAGCAGCCGGCCGGGGCAGCCGGCCGGCCTCCCTTCCTCCTCCTCCTCCTCCTCATCCTCCTCCTCCTCCTCCTCCTCCTCCTCCCTGCTCGTCCTCGTCCTCCTCGTCTTGCTCGTCCTCCTCCCCCTCGTGCAGCCGGCCGGGGCAGGCAGCCGGGGCAGCCGGCCGCCCTCTCCTCCTCGTGCTCGTCCTCCTCCTCCTCCTCCTCTTCCTGCTTGTCCTCCTTCTCCGGCTCCTCCTCTTTGTCCTCCTCCTCCTCCTCGTCCTCGTCCTCTTGCTGGTCCTTGTCCTCCTCGTCCTGCTGCACGAAATGGCCAACACTTGGCTCCGGGCATTCAAAATGTAGCCCGGGAGAAATCGAGAAACACGAAGTCGCGTACAAGTGGCTTCGGGCATTCAAAATGTGGCCCGGGAATGGAATTCTGGGAGGTCGAAGAGCACGAAATGGCCTACAGTTGGCTCCGGGCATTCAGAATGTGGCCCGGGAACGGAGTTCTGGGAACACTAAGAACACGAAGTGGCCTACAGTTGGCTCCGGGCATTCAGAATGTGGCCGGGGAATGGAGTTCTGGGAGGTCGAAGAGCACGAAGTGGCCTACAGTTGGCTCCGGGCATTCAGAATGTGGCCCGGGAATGGAGTTCTGGGAGGTCGTAGAGCACGAAGTGGCCTACCGTTGGCTCCGGGCATTCAGAATGTGGCCCGGGAATGGAGTTCTGGGAAGTCGAAGAGCACGAAATGTATGACTGTTTGCGAAAAACAAATTCGGACCCAGCCCGGACCCCCCTGTGGAGTCATCTGCTGCTCTCTTTTGGCCCCACTAGAAGCCTATCAGTCTTCGCTGTTAGGTAAAAAATGTACATGACTCTGAGCAAAGCAGAGTACACACGGGCAAATCCTAATACCTTCCAGTCAATGCATGAAGATCGCCAGGAAAATTTGGAGCAAATCGTGGCCGAGCCAGCTCGAGTTGATGGACGGAAGCAGTCGCTACACGTCGGTCGGAAAAAGTAAGTAAAAATATCAAGTAGGAACGCGGATAAACTAGATTGGGTTCAGGCCCTCCCAAATAATAAGAAAACACGGCGCGGAAGCCCTGATAGCGAGCTGGAGGGCCCCAGAGGGCTCACGCCACGACAAAAGTTCCCGCGTCGGAGGGAAGGGGCACACATGCCGATTGCTACTCGGCCCCTCCTTCGAGAGACCCTGCGACCCTTGGCGGATTGTATGCGGTGAAGTCGCATAAGAAGGATGCGCTGGAAGTAGATTGGGTTTCCGCCTTTCCCCTGAAGAAGAGGGAAGAAGGAAAACCACTCCATCCTTTAAGTAGGAAGGCGGCCAAAGTAGACTGGGCTATGGAAATCCAAAACACCTACTTTCAACGACCGGCGTGCAAGGATGCAAGGGCCTTTGAGAGCCAGGTTGGCGCTTTCGAGATGGGCTGGCCTGCGAAAGTCGTCAAGGAGTTGCCGGATGAGCAGGGATGCAAGGGTAGCCTTGGAAAGTTGCTCCTCCTTGCTGTGCGACTTGACTGCGTGCTCAATCCTGGCGTCTTTCCTCCAATCGAGTGCCCCGAAGTTGAAAGGTCCCTGGGACACACAAACAAATAGAAACCAATCCAAGGATTCCCCATGTTTTCATATTTTCTAGATGTTCGTCTTCCCCACACTTCCCATATTTTCAAATCTTTTTCCTGAGAGTCTACGATTACTTGTCTGTGTCTCTTTTCCCTTCCTGAGAAGAGAGGGTCCAGGAAGAGGGGAGCTGGCGCATCGTGGCCCTGGGCATGTGCGCGGAGGAGGGAGGTGGCCAGGGTGCGTACCGACCAAAGAAGAGGGGGGCATGAGATCAGGGAAATGTCATGGCCACGGCCATGGATGGCATCCACACACACACACGCACGCACACACAAACACACAGAAACACACACACACACAAACACACAAGCACACAACACAAACACACACACAAACACACACACAAACAAACACAAACATACACAAACATACAAACACACACAAACACACACAAACACACAAACACATAAACACACGCATACACACGAACACACACACACAAACACACACAAACACAAAAACAAACACACACACACATACAACCACACACAAACATACACAAACAACCACACACACGTTCACACAAACACACGCAAACACATACAAACACACACACAAACATAAATTCACAAACCCCCACACACATAAACACACACACACAAACACACAACCACACACAAACACAAACACATACACACACAAACGCACAAGCACCAACACAAACACCAGGCACACCAACATACACAAACGCACACAAACAAACACACAAACACACGCACTCACAAGCACACTCAAACACACACAAACAAAAACACATACAAACACACACACACAATCACACACTACCACACACAACTATACACACAAACACACAAACACACACAAACACACAAGCACAACCACAAACACACACACACAGATCAACAAATCAACACACACAACCGAACACACACACAGCCGAACACACACATTCAAACACGCAAACACAACACACACAACCACACACCAACAAACCCAGACACACGCAAACAGACACAAACAATCACACACAAGCGCGCAAACTTACAAACGGATAAAAAAACACACAAACACACAAGCATACAACACCAGGCACAAACACACACAAACACATAAACACACACAACCACACACACAACAACATACAAACATTCACCCCAACCGCCCAACCACACACACAAACACACGCACAAACACACGCACAAACACAGACAAACACAAACAAACCCGCAAACAACACGCACACGCACACGCACGCGCACACGCGCACGCACATGCACACGTACACGCACAAGCACACGCACACGCACACGTACACGCACACGCACACACGCACACACGCACACACGTACGCACACACACACACGCACACACGCACACACGCACACACGCACACACGCACACACGCACACACGCACACATACACATGCACACGTTCACGCACATGCACACCACACATACACACACAGACACACATTCACACGCACACGCACGCACACGCACGCACACATTAACACACACGCACACACACGCACACACAAACACACACGCACGCACACGAACGCACGCACGCACGCCCGCGCGCACGAACGCACGCACGCACACACGCACACACGCACGCACGCACGCACACACGAACGCACGCACACACGCATGCACGCACACACGCATACACGCACCCACGCACCCACGCACACACGCACACTCGCGCACACGCACACACGCACACACGCACACGCACACGCGCACACTCGCGCACACGCACACACGCACACACTCACACACGCACACACGCACGCACGCACTCACGCACCCACGAACCCACACACACACAAACACACACACACACACACACACACACACACGCACACACATACGTACCCACACACACACACACACCTTGTCCTCCCCCCTCCCTTCGAAGCCAGTCACTTTTCCAGCACGGCCGGGTAGCGTCAGGGCCAGGGGCCATCAGAAAACGATCCCAGGCACGAAATGGCCTCCGGGGACGGGGTCGAGCAGACTTGCGAAGATGGATGGGCTTGGCTTTGCTGTCGTTGTTAACACGACTTCAGCCCACAAGATGAGCATCAAACGTTAAAAAGCCAAAAGGGCGCGAGACGCCCCCCCCAGACTGGCCCAAGAGGTTTCCAAGAGGGGCCCAAAGGTGGCCCAACAGGGGCCCAAGAGACCTCCTAGACGGCTGAACAAATCTCAAGAGGGCCTCAACACAAGAGAGGCCCAACAGTGGGAACCTGCAGGGCCGTCGCGAAGAGTCCCTGCGCGTCGCTGCCTCATGGGCACCATTGCAGGGTTCATCGCAGTGTGTGCTATGCACGCTATCATGGTCGCCGCCGCCGTCGCCATCATCATGACATTCATCATCGTCGTACCATTCCCATCATCACCGTGAGCATCACAAGTGTACACCAGGAAGGCCTGTCGCACTGGCCAGGAATGCCACGCGGCTGCCTCAGTCTGACAGCAAGCAGCGACGATGCCAGAGTGCCGCCGCATCCTATCAGAATCGGCGCTGGAGCTACTCGAATGGCCCATTCGGCTTGGAGACGGGTCTGAGTCGCAAGCGCCCCATGTCGGCTTTCCACGCGGGGGCTGTGTTCATATCGGCAACCGTCGATGCGCACGAATCTTCTCGATGAAGGGGTACAAGCATGCTGCGCTTGGCTATCGTTCCGCCCTTTCTGCCGCAGCGAGCTCGCCCCAACCTCTCGTCGTGCCTGCTCGGCTCAAGCTGCGGAAGCCTCAGACACTAAAAGGGTACAACCGGCCCCGTCCAACTTCGTAGGATCTGACACGCACCGCGGACCAAGGAGGAGGAATCGAAAATAGTCGAACAATCGTCCCTAGCCTGTCTGTTTTGACTATTGGGATACTCTTCTCGTGGAGGGACGCGCCCGACTTAACAAAAATCCCAAGACCCGACCCGCGCACCCCCCCCGCGGCGAGAGCGCCGAGCCTGGCCGAGCCTCGCAGCCGTGATGGGGGGGGGCCAGGCGAGCCCGCCGACCGGCCCGGACCAGCGGGCGGCTCGACTCAGCTGGAGGGGCGGGGCCCCTGTCTCGGAGGGAGATGCGGGTGGGGCACAGTCAGCCCGTATGGCAGGGATGCGCGAGAAGGATGCAAGGGCCTTGGACGCCCATTTCGAAGCTTTTCGAGCGGGCCGCGGCCAACGAAAGCGGCCAGGGATGGGCCGAGCAGGCAAGGATGCAAGGGCACCCTTGGGAAGGTTGCCCGTCCTCACTATGCGGGTTGACTGTAGGGGCAGAGGTGGGGCTGAAAGGGAAGTCGCTTCAAACGGCCCCCAGGAGAAGGACATGCGAGCATGAGCATCCAGCTGGGTTCGTCCCCCAGGCCCAGGAACCCCGAATGGTCCTCAGAACACGTGGCCGATTCTGGAAACCTTGAACCCAAAAAGGTTGCAATCTCTTGGAGGCCCACTCACTACTTCCACTGGCTTCCGCCGGCAGAGGCGGCCTCGTTTTTCTTCCGCTGACCTTCCACCAAGGAAGAGATGGCAGATCATTCGACTCTCGGGAGCGAGGCCCTTTCTGGAACGCCTCATGTGTGAGTGCCAACGTGTGCTCGTCCACCAAGGACCTTCGACAAGACGCCTGCAACGCAATGACGGCAGACCCACCCTGCGTGCGATCGGCGGAATTGAGCGGGTTAACACACACACACACACGCACGCACGCACGCACGCACATACACACACACACACTCACACACACACACACACGCACACACACACACACACACACGCGCGCGCACACGCACACGCACACCCACACACACACACACACACACACACACGCGCGCGCGCACGCACACATTTGGCTAGCACACGCCCTGAGGACCATCGATTGTGTGTGTGTGTCTCTCGACCCCCTCCCTGGGTCTGGCTTGGCATCCAGACTCGCTTGTTGACGGCCCCACGGCCCGAAACCTTCTGGAGGCGCAGCACGGGGACGATCTGCCGCGTCAAGTCTCTCGAGCCCCTGGGCAGGCTCAGCCATAGTCGGATCGGGAAGTCGAACCATGCGCAGGACCGGGCTGCAACGCCTTTGCAAGCGTCGGGCCGCATCGGACCGTCGGGGTGTCGAGAATCGAATCGGATCGATGATGGGCCTGTTGTCCACCACCACCATAAGTTGGAGGGGAAGGGGGTCCTCCTCCTCCACCTCCTCCTCCTCCTCCTCCTCCTCCTATTCGTCCTCCTCCTTCTCGTCCTCCGCCTCCTTCCATCCTCCAGCTTATGGTGGTGATGGTGGGAAACAGGCCCCTCAATCGAGCCGGGCGGCATCGATATCGAACCGCGGCGATCGGATCGAGGTGCACCCCGCCAGGTGCCGAGGGCATCCCCTCGGGCCACGCCCGTGCCTTCCACCGCCTCCCGTCGGACGGGGCCGGCTCTACTCGGACCGGGCGAAAGGGGCCCCACAGCAAAGGGGGGGTCTGAGGATCAGCTCACGTAGCTGACTTTCCCCGGCGCCTCCCGGCGCCGGAGGCGGCCACGTATCGAAGAATGGGCCCCTCGGCGGGGCCGACCCCCTCCCCTTTCCCCACCCCCCCTTTCCTAATCCCCCCCTTTCCCCTTTCCCAATCGCCCCCCCCCCTTTCCCAATCCCCCCCCTTTCCCAATCCCCCCCTGTCCCAACCCCCCCCTTTCCCCATCCCCCCCTTTCGTCCGGCCCGATCTACAGGAGCATGCCCAGAGGAACCGATGCCGCGCGCGCGCGCGGGGGCGCCCCGCGCCCGGGGCCAACGACGCTGCACGGGGCTCCCCTCCATGCCGACGTCGGCGCCTGAGCGCCTGGCACCCGCAGGGCCACCGAGCAGGTCGCCGAGCGTGCTCCGGCCCGACGCCGTGGTGGGCGCCCGTGGTGGGCTCCTTCTCCACAGCCACCACCATAGATAGGAGGGGGAAGGGCCAGGGGTCCTCCTCCACCTCCTCCTCTTCTTCCGCCTCCTCCTCCTCTTCTTCCTCTTCCGCCTCCTCCTCCTCCTCCTCCTCCTCCTCCTCCTCCTCCTCCTCCTCCTCCTCCTCGTCTTTCTCCCCTCCAACTTCTGGTGGTGGTAGTGGGAAACAGGCCCATCAGCCCGGGTCCGCTCGGCCGCCGAGAGGACTCGATCGTGGGCCCCTTCGGCGGCCGTGCCACAGCTCAGGCCGGGTCATCCGACGATGTGAGCTCTGCTCCGTCCGCGCCCCCATCGGGGGCCCCAAAAATTAGACACCACCACCGCCTCCATCCCCACCTTCCTCTCGCCGAAAAGAGGAGAGAGGAGTAATCGACGTGGTGGTGGTGTACAGTCGGGGCCCTGAAGAAGGAACCCTTTTCGTTGGGGAGGGGCTCCGTGTTCCTTGAGTGTTTCACAGCTTGCCTCAGGTTTTCCCTAGGTTTTCGATACGAAATCGAAGTTCAACTTATGTAGAAAAGGGGCCTCGTTCCTTATGTAGGGTTCCTTAGGTCAACGCCTCGACTGTATATTCTGTGGGCCCCCACCCATGACCTCCTCCCGGCCGCTTTCCCGGGGGTGCCGTCGGACCCGGGCCAGAAGAGCACCCTCCTGGAACCCGAGGCCCCCCGCCGGCCCAACACACCCCGAGCCGCCACGGGTGCCCTCCCCCCAGGAGAGGCGCAGCAAGACGCCCTCCGTGCGGCCGCGGCGGCCTCCCGAGGCCGACGCAGAGGGATCCGGGCTCCGCGACGGAGCAGAGCACGCCGACGCCGAGTGGCATCGGAGAGGGGCCCCGGGGGCCCACGGCGGAGGCGAGCACGCCCAGATGCCGGCGGCCGGCCCAAGTCACCTGGCGGCCTCGGGGGGGGGGAGAGCGGCGGCGCGGTGGAGGGAGGAGGGAGGAGGGAGGAGGAGGAGAGAGGAGGGAGGAGGGAGGAGGAGGAGGAGGAGGAGGAGGAGGAGGAGGAGCAGGGAGGAGGCAGGAGGAGTGAGGAGGGAGGGGGGAGGAGGAGGAGAAGGAGAAAGAAAAGAGAGGAGGGAGGAGGGAGGAGGGTCCGGGGGACCCCAGCTAAGGGAAAGACGGCGGCACCACCATCGCAGGGGGCAAGCGCCATGCATCGTCAGAGTGCCATTATTGTGGCTCGAGCTGCGGTGCCTCAACCGATTCCATTCCATGAGCAGGCCGCATGACAGAAGCGTGCGCCATGTGTCTCAGATCAGCTCTGGAATGCCTCTAGGGCATCGTATTATATGCAAGTATCTGGCTCTCTCCTCTCGCGTCTGCTCAGTTGACGCTCCTCCTGGTGCTGTGGCCCCCTGTGCTTGCCCCCCCGCGCCCATGGGATCCCCTGCCCCTGGGATTTCGGGGGGCCTGTGAGGCGCTCGGCCTCCTCCAGACCTCCTGGGGGGACTGGGCGCCGACGGTAAATCGCCAACCTTGACTACCGTCGGGGGAGGCTCCGCCTCCTGTCCTGCACATGGTGATCGTCAAAGCAGGGCCCCAAACCGCTTCGAAGCAGCAGAATTCTTGCAGCGCGGACCAGTTACACCGCGTTCCTGGCCCGTCTGACGCCGTCGGGAGCCGTTCGGGGAGCCTCTCTGGGCAGTCTGGGGGCCCTCTTGGGGCGCTTCAAGGTTGTCTGAAAGCCATATCGGGCATCCTGGCGGCCTCCTGGGTCGTGTGGGGGCCCTTTGGGGGCCGTCTTGGGAGGCTCTTGAGCCGTCCTGGGGCCATCTTGGAAGCCTTTTGGGCGATATTGAGCCGATATTGGAAGTCTTTTGGGCCGCCTTGGGCCGTCGGAAGGTTGTTTTGACGCAAGTGCCCAAATCCTTCAAACACCTAAAGAACATCCGCGAGTTTGGCCTCTGCGGGCCTTCCTGGAGGACCTCTTGGAAGCCTCTTGGGCCGTCTTCGCGGCCTGATGGGCGCTTCTTGGGCCGTCTGGGCCGTCTGACTGTCTTGGACCGTCTTGGCGGTCTCAGAGGCATCTTGGGACCGTCATGGTGGAGGCCATCTTGACCGCCTTCGAGGCAGCGTGGGGGCCATCTTGGACCATCTTGGCCGTCTTCGAGACCATCTGGGCCGCCTTGGAGAAAGTGTTGGGGAATCTGCGGGCTTTCTGGGTGGCCGGCGGGATCGGCCGAAGCCCCAGGGAGAGTTCTAAGAGAACCAAAACCCTCCTGAAGTTGCACGCCAGGCACCCCTGTGGCAAGCCACGTGGGGCGGCGGATCTGGTGGCCGTCGGCCCATCCCGAAACCGTGCCTGGGCTGTGGGTCCGAAGCTTTTGGGGGGGGTCGTTGGGATCCCGTGGGATGCCTCTCGGGGGCCTCCTGTGAAGTCTCTTGGGGGCTGTTTGGGAGCTCATTGAAGCCTCTCGGGGCCCTGGGGGCTTCTTGGGGTCATGTGGGGTGGAAGACCCGAACCGTCGGTTCATGTTCCCCTTCTTGGAGCCGTTTTGGGGCCCTCATGGGCCGTCTTGGGCGTCTCTTGGGCCTTCTCCGTGCTCTCTTGGGCCGTCTTGGAGCCCGCTTGGGGGACCTCTTGCGTTATTTTGGAACGGTTTCGGGGGATTTTTGGGCCGTCTGGGAGCGTCGGAAGGTCGAAATGGCGAGCACCTCAACACATAACGATAACACAATTACCCTGGCGGAGGACCCAACTATATGCAGTTGTGAGTGCTGACTCTTGTCTTCGGTGGAGCACCCCGTGGGGCCACGAAACGTGGGAGAGATCTGCCGAGATTGGGGTGGAACCGCATGTGAACCCTGCCACTGGGGCCTGCGGTGGAGCTCCCTATGGGGTTACGAAACGTGTGAGTGGTGTGCCCAAATGGGGGGTGGAACCGCATGCGAACCCTGCCACTGAGCCCTTCGGTGGAGCTCCTTGTGAGGCCACGAAACGTGTGAGGGGTGTGCCGGAACCGCATGCGAACCCTGCCACTGTGGCCTTCGATGGAGCTCCCTACGGGGCCACGAAACGTGCGAGGGGTGTGACGAAATGGAGGTGGAACCGCATGCGAACCCTGCCACTGGGACTTTCGGCGGAGCTCCCCATGGGGCCACGAAACGTGTGAGGGGTGTGCCAAGACGGAGGTGGAACCGCATGCGAGACCTGCCACTAGGGCCTTCGGCGGAGCTCCCTATGGGGCAACGAAACGTGTAAGGGGTGTGCCGAAATGAGGGAGGACAGGTCGGGGTGGAACCGCATGCGAACCCTGCCATTGGGGCCTTCGGCGGAGCTCCCCATGGGGCCACGAAACGTGTGAGGGGTGTGCCGAAATTGGGGGTGGAACCGCATGCGAACCCTGCCACTGGGACCTCCAGCGGAGCTTCCTATGCTGCCACGAAACGTATGAGGGGTGTGCCGAAATGGCGGTACAACCGTTGCGAACCCTGCCACTGGGGGTGGAGCTCCCTATGGGGCCACGAAGCGTAGGAGGGATGTGCCGAAATTGGGGTGGAACCGCATGCGAATCTTGCCACCAGGGCCTTCGGTGGAGCTCCCTATGGGACCACGAAGCGTGTGAGGGGTGTTCCAAAGTGAAGGGGATGATGGGAGGAGGGAGGAGGGGGAGAGGAGAGGAGAGGAGACGCGGCGCGCTGTCCCTTCAAAACGACGACCCAACACCACAGGGTGGTTGGGAAAAGACAAGGGAAGCCAATGCTTGTTGCCTCTTGGGGCCCTCTTGAGGGTCCTCTTGGAGCGCTCTTGGGGCCTCTCTGGGGCCTCTTGGTCCGTCTCGGGGCCACCTTGGCCGCGTAGGAACTCTCCTGGACCGTCTTGGCCCGCTCCCCCATTCCCGGGCCGACCCGTCCCCGCACCCTTCCTCCTGCGGCGCGGAGCGGCCCCGAAGATGGAAGAACCCCCCCTGTTCCTGGCAGGGCCACGCCAGGACCCCCCCCCCCCAGCAGAGCTGAAGCTCAGGCTGTGGCTCCTCAAAGGCACACGTCGGATCGGCGGAATTACATAAAAAAGTAGCGAAGCTGGCCGCACCACCCGCCGCCCTATCTAGGTCGGGCGTGTCCCCCCCTACGGGCGGATCTTGGGCGAAAAATCTAAAGATGCCCCAGAAATAACCAAAACAGTCCCCCCAAAGAATAGTCCCCAGACTATTCTTTGTACCATTCTTGAACGCTCCTCCCGTAGAGGGACAGGCCCGACTCAACCCTATCCTCACCTGGGCGGGCGAGGGGCCAAGGCTTGGACAGGCGCAGGCCCTTCGCAACAGCTCCCGTGGCCTTCTCCAAGAGGAAGGCTCCTCAGAAGGCCCGCCGCCGACATCAGCGCGCGGGCGTCCATTCTCCGCGCCGGCGGTGTTCTCCGGGGGCCCCAGGACACACAAATGGATACACACAAATAACACTCTTCGACATATTTTCCAATATTTGGGGGGTTTTCGTCTCCCCCCCCCCACTTCCCACCCCACTTCCCATATTTTCCCATATTTTCAGAGGAATCGACGATTAATTGTGTCTGTGTTTTTTTTCTCCTCCTGATGCTCTCCGGGGGCAACAGCGGGGAAAGCCAGGGTTTTGGGGGGCCCCCGCGGCCCCCGCCTTGGCCGAACTCGGCGCGCTTCCCCCGCCACGCTGGCCATGGCATCCCCGAAGGTGATTTCGATCGTCCGAAAGTGAGACGAGGCCACGACGAGGATAGCATCGGGTTTGGATAACTGGAGAATCTCTGAGATCCGGCGGCTCCGAAGGACGTCTCGAGCGCCGCGGCCTTCTCAGAGCGTTCCGGAACGCCCTGAGAGCGCTCCGGAACGCTCTGGAACGGATTTCTCCTCGTCTTAGCTCCGTCCGAGAAATGTCGGTCAGCGCCAACACTTTGGGAGGTTCCTGCGGATCTCTTGGATCGGCGCCGGACCCCCCCCCCTTACTTGGCGCGCGGAGCGCAGCCTGGGCGGCGCCGGAGGCGCAGCCAGGGGCGCCCCAGTGCCGGCCCAAGAGAGCAACGTGGGCCCCGAAGGTTGTTGTTTGTGCTGGTGTTTCTTGCTCGACCTCGGCTCTCGAACCTCGACGACGTCGTCGCCGACTTTGGAATTCGGCGATGACGGCGGCGACGACGGCGGCGGCGCCCGACGGCGGCGCCGACGGCGACGTCGACGACGGCAAGGACGGCGACGGCGTCGGCGTCGGCGGCGACCCACGGCGACGTCCGCCGAACGGCCTCTACGTCCTGCCACTTGTTCAGCATGATCTTCTGGCAGCAGAGCAGCGCCTCCCGCCTCACCTCGCAGGAGGAGGAGGAGGAGGAGGAGGAGGAGGAGGAGGAGGAGGAGGGAGGAGGAGGGAGGAGGAGGAGGAGGAGGAGAGGAGGAGGACGAGGAGGAGGAGGAGGAGGAGGAGGGCGTGGGGCCCCTCGACAGCAATGCTGGGCGGCGCCGCCGACGGCTGCGGCGGCGGCGGCGGCCGCGACTGCCCCGACGACGGCGACAGACGCCGACGCCGACGACGGCGGCGGCGACGAGCCGAACGACGTTGAGGACGCCGACAACCCCGACAGCGACAGCCCCGACGTCGACGACAACGGCCCTTGCGGCAAGGCAGGGCCTCCCGCCTTGCCTCGGCGGGGGGGTGAGGGAGCCTCCCTCACCCCCTCAGGGCGGGGAAGGATGCTCGAATCCTTCCTCTCGCCGAGGGAGGGAAAGGATTCGAGCATCGAGGACTCGCGGATCGAGGCTCGACGCTTCGAGGGGAAGGACTCGAGGATGGAGGCTCGAAAACAAGCAGTCGAGGATTCGACGATCGAGTCTTCTTGGGCCTGTCTTGCCACGTCTGAGCCTCCAGAAAGCCTCGCATGGCCACGGCTGGATCCG